GGCCCCTCCTCCGGCGCCACGGCCGTTTCCTGCCCGGGCGCAGAGCCGGGCGCTGCCGGCGCAGGTAGGCGGGGAAGGCGGGGAGGAGGGAAGCGGAGCGGCAGGGCCGTGCCGTGCCGTGCCGTGCCGTGCCGTGCCGCGCGGGCCCGGCAGTGCCGTGGGCCGCGGGGTTGGCGGCGCGGCCGGCCGGGCAGGGAGCGCGGGGGCGCCGCCGCGGCGGGCCGGACCCGGAGCTGGGGCCTGGCGCGGCGCTGATGGCCCTAAAGACCCTCAGGCCCCACGGAACTGCCGCTGCACAGAACCCCCGAGTCATTGTGGTGGGGAGGGAGCGCTGAGATCATGCAGCCCAACCCTCCTGCGCGGGCACGGCCACCCCGAGCAGTGACACGGGACGGTCTGGGTGGGTTTTCCATGAGCGTCTCATGCCTCATGTCTCCAAGTCACATTGCGGCTGGAGCAATGCTTCAGCGACAGTAAACATGAAATTGTCAGGAAAACAAAGAAATAGCTATAGTGTAATTAAATTTCGGCTATTTCAAAGGATTTATAATTACCTTTTATGCTTAGCCTATTTTAGTTATAACATTCTTAATAAATTTTAAAGTATTCAGAACATGTTGATTAATTTCAATGAGATTAAGTTTTATGATTTTGCAATGAGTCAGGGAAAACATCTTTAATTTTCAGGCTTAGTTCAGATTTTGAAGGTATCACCCCCGTGTGCTGTGCTAACTACCTCTACAGGTGAAGAGCTCTGCTATTTGTGTTTGTGACTGTCAGGTCATTTCTCTTTCTTACCTGAAAGTCTCATTATTGCCTTCAGTATCAGCTAGTTGATGAAAGCAACCGGTAACTTTTTTGAATACAGCCTTCAAAATGGAGAAACTGGCTAAGAAATGGGGGGAAAATTTACTCTTAGTTTATAATTAGAAGGACAATGAATTAGGTCTATAAAAATTCATCGGCAGGAAGAGTTATGGCCAGTGTTTCACAGATGCTTTGTGATTTAGCAGACCAGGTAAGCTGGGTATCCTAAGTGCCTAGACAGGTTAGGTGCCAAATTTCCTTTTATCTCAGTGGAATGAGATCATTCCTTTTGAATATTTAGGCATTTTGAGGCATCTAAGAATCTTGTAAAATCAGCTTCTAGGTCTTTAGAAGTAGTTTGCTCATCTAATGAGTGAATTTGTTACCTCTTGTGTTAAATAAACCTATTTAGTGCTTTGATTATATTACATGATTTGATAAATACACAGAAGAAGAGCAATGCTCTTAAGGTCTCAGTTCTTACAAAACTGTTCTTTTATGCATTTCAATTGAATTTTTTATGCATTTCAATTGAATTCAGGTTGTCTAGCAAATACAAGAGTTTCTTACCATATCCTCATATAGTTGAAACTAAAAATAATCTAAGTAAATATATAGTCAGTAACATAATACAGTAAATATTTGTAGATATAGTGAATGCTCATGGTTAGGAAAGATGAGTACCAAATGCTGAGGTGAGAATGGCAGTGAGCATATTTTAACTGTTATGCCATGAAGCAGGAGTAAACCCTTTCTTAGCAAACTAAAAGAAAATTACAGATGCAGAGCAGGTTCAAAACTGGTATATAGACTGGCTGCTGATGTCAGTCAAGATTTATGTCAGACAGACCACATGTTTTGCAGGTTCCAAGTATGAGACCAGGCTCAAAAGGTAGGATTTTGAGGAAGTGCTGGTTTAGGAGCCAGATGCTGCTCGTGCTTACAGGATGTGTATGGACCAGTGATGAGATGGCCCTCCTTTGCAGATGGACTCAATAGCTTGAGTCCCTGTCTGTCCACCAGCTGTTATTGAAATAATGGATGGACTTCTGGCCTGTTCGATCAATGAGGTGATGTCTTCTTGCACACTGTTGTTTGTGAAGTTGTGTTCTTTAGTCTGTCTCAGTGTGGGAGCACCTTGTGTTTGGATTTTCTCCAGTGCTGTTCTCATATTTCTTCTGAAAGGTTGCAGTTCATAGAGAGCTATTGCTGTACAGTTGAGACAGAAGAAATTGTCACCTCACATTCCTGTTTGTCACCATATGATGGCCACCATGATAAAGACAGCTGCAGGTAGGACATATCTCTGTATCTTCCCAGGTGGGTTTGGAATGTGCTGTGTGGGTGGGATTTTGTGCCATGTGCCTGCACGTGGCAGAGGTGTTCCCTCTTTCCTCAGGGAGAAGCTGTAAGGGGCAGTGAGGACAGCTCAGTGGTGGGGCAGGCTGGGTGCTGGTGAGAATGTCTCCTGTGTGGGCATTTGGGAAGAGGCTGATTTTTCTCCAAGTGGGATAGAGAGTGCAGGGATAGAAGGGCTTTTGCTTGTCTGAAGCCATCATTTGGTGAAGGGGGCAGTAGGGTGATGAGATGGGAATGTTCACCTGGGAACAGCTGAAATGGGGTTCACACCACTGAGTTACCTGGGAACCTTCTTCTGTTATTTGTCTTAGCAGGACTTTCAGTGAGTTGGGAATGATACTGTTGGTTTCATTCTCTCTATGGCATTTTAGCTCTTGGGAAAACCTTCTGGTTGTACGTTCAAGGTTGAGATGTTGTAATGTGATTGTAGCATTCCTTTGGTTAGGAGTGCAGGAACATTGCTCACTTTGTTCCCCTGTCCTTGGGGTGGAAGTGAGGGAGGGAGCATCAACTGGAGCACAGAATCTATGACTTGGGATCAGTATTTGGGTGACCACAAAGACACCAGGAAAGCAGCCATCAAACTGCAATAAAACAGAAACATTGCAAAACAAAGCTTGGTTTCTCAGCAACTTCATGTTCTGGAACTCTTGGGATTGTTTTTTTTCTTGAGGTGCTGAAGATTTTTGGAACCATGTGAAGTCATTAGGAGCTGTGAGGACTTAGCACCTTTGAAAGCTGCACACAGTTTTATGGATGTTGATATTTCTATCCCTTCATTAGACCAGATCCAATATTTTGCAATCCTGATGTTTCCTAATGTCTGAGTGAATTCAGTAAGGAAAAATTTGTTACTAGAATCAAATTGCACACTAAGTTACTTGTCAGTTACACCATCGGAGTTTATAAATATTTTTGAATACCATGAGATTGGACCTCTAACACACAAAGGTTACAGCTCCTTCTGTGCTCTTCTGGGGTAGGATCCTTGCTCCTTTGTGGCACCACTGGCATTTTGCAGCAGGCCTGTCTTCCTCTTCTGCTTGCTTGGATTCTGACCAGTACGCTGATGTCAGATGCAGCTTTGTGCTCCACATTCTTGCAGTTGGCTTCTTACAGACCTTAGCAGTGTGTGAGGTGTTAGAGGTTTGCAGATGCAGAGCTTTGCAAGCCTTTTGTTTGATTTCCTGACTGAGCTGGCTGCTGACAGTTACTAAAGTTGTTTTATTGGTAGGGGCTGCTTATCCTAATAGCAGGTTAAAGGCTTCTGTGGTGTCTCTGTGCTGCAACTGTTAGTGTATTGTCCAAATATCCTTTAATGGCCTGTGGTGTGTGGCTGAATAAATACCTGCTCACTGAGAATTATCTGGTAGATCATCTTGATTCTTAATTGGAACTAAATTGAATTTTTTCAAGGAATTCATAATTCTGTGTGCTAAATATAGGAATCGGGGATTACTTTACATGTTAGGATGTGGTTTATGTTTCAGTAGCTCCCACTAGTGCTCTGTAATTACACTTTAAAAAAAAAAAACATCTTGTATGTGCTGTGCCTTAGGTATTGTGCTCACTAATATTCTCTGCAGGATGTAAATTATAGTGAATATGACAGGAGATCATAGAAATACCTGTTAGAGCTTAGAGAAAATGAGTGCACCTTGTGAAGTCCAGAAATAAGCAGGACCCATTCTGCTATGCCAAAAACCTTGTTCAGTCAAGCCAAAGAAGCCCAAATACATGTTAATTTTGCGAGTGGAGATTTCCTTTGGGGGAGTTCTGAGGGGAGTAAAATTGTCAGTAATTTAGTATGGAAAAACTTCTTTCAATTTCTTGCATCCCAGTATGTTTCTGCTTTATTTTGAGGCTGATTCATGAGTTCCAAATTTGCTTGTCAGAAATTCATACACCATCACCAGGCACCAGTTTGATTACCACTCTCCTTATGGCCTGGCTATTTTTTAGCTTTAAGTCAATTGCACTTTGAATGTGGTTGTTAGGGAGTGTTTTATTTAGCCAGAGGAGCCAAGGGTAGCTGGTCACCTTTGCACTGTGTCACCTTTGCTGTGTGACCATGGGGACACCTTGCTGGCCATGTGGAGGATGGTAATGCTGGTGACTTTGGGCAGCCAGCTTCATCCCAGTGCTGGAACCTACTGCTTCAGCTGCAGGCATGTCTGCTCATAAAACATCATTGCACATCTGGTACAATTCTATTGCTTTGGGTAATTGTAGCACTCCCTCAGTTTGAGGGGGCAAAGCTGATTATCTTCCTATCAGTGAGGGCCCTGTGTTGTCAGCTCTCCCAACTTGTGTTGTCCCACCTGTGCTGCAGAGCCTTCATCCTGGAGGGCTTCATGTGAGACCTTGACTGAATTCAGCCCAGAGAGGAGATGCCAATTGTTTTCAGCACTTTGGGTTAGTCTGAGACGTGGCACAGAGGTGAGGCACAATCCCAAATCAGTGTCTGAGAGGAGGGAGTGAATCCTGCAGCACTTCAGCTTGCCTGGGGCTGGTGTGACTGACACTCTCAGTGGAAAGCTGCTCACCTTTTGTTAGAAGGGTAAAAACAAACACTTAATTGTCACTTTCCCCATCATTCCTGGGGCTGGCAGTGGGAGCTGTGCCCGTAGTATATTTTGGGGTGTTTCCCCACTGCTGTAGGACAGACAGAGCAGCCATTTGTTCCTGACTTGGAGCTTGAGCCCAATGGGATGAGATAATAAGTGACTCTGGAGCAGAGTGTGTGGCTCTGCCACTGAGCCCTGCTGTGTCATCAGCCTGCCAAGAACCCAAAAGCAAAGTGGTGAAATGGTGAACTTGGATGTTTGCTTTAGACTGGTACAAAAATGAATGGAGGAGTGAGAGAAATCAACTATTAGATGAAATTTCCTGCTGTGCCTCTTTGCAGCTGTGGAGTTTATGTGGTCCCTTCCCAAAAGCCAGACCTTTCTTTAGTGTCAGCATTGTTTGGATCCTGCAGTGACATGGGTGATTTGCAGTCAGCCATCTCAGTGCTAAGAAAGCTTTCTCTGTTGCAATCGTTGATTTTTAATATGACAAATGGTGTGATAACACTCCACTTTCACTTTGCACAGAGGAGATCTGTTCAGGCAAGACTGTGAAACTGCTTGGCTTGGGCTGAGATCGAATTGCTCACACACTCTGGGGGAAGAGGTTTTCTAGGGGCTGAAAAACCTCAGGCCAACAGCAATCTACTGAAGAATTTGATTCTGTAGAAACTCTGAATTTGTTACAAACCCATTTTTTTTCTGGTCTGGTAGCAGAAGTCTCCCTGCTAGTTGGCAATTTCAGTGACCTTCAGCACTTAGTGCAAGGGCTGGTCTTCTGAGAATCAAAAGAGAAAGTAGTTAATATTTTCTTTGTTTGTCCTTGAACACTAGGGGTTCTTCCAAATTGTATTCTTTTAGTGGCTAGGTTTAGTCTCGGTTGCAGTGGTCAGATGATAACTTAAAACATCTTTTGCAGGATTTGGGGACGCCGGGATGCCGATCCGTGTTGATGATGTGATGACGCTGCTCAGCCACGTTGCCACGGTGAAGGGCATGAAAGCTGCTGTCACACATTCCGGCCGGGGAGCAATGCTGACAGGTGCATCAGCATTTTTAGGGGGGATGCTGGGAGGCCCCCCTGGAATAGCTGTAGGTAAGTGTGCTTTGCTTTAGGAACAAGAGGCTGGTAAAATCTTAGACATCAGTACTTCCAGTGGCTTTTGCATTAAGTGCCCCTAAATCAGTTTTTGATGTTCACATAAAAGTCCCTTGAAGATGAATTCAGCCATCGTAGGCTTTCAAGTATTTCTGTGGTATCGTGGGAAAAATTGCTGAGTAAAAGCTGCAAGTTAAGAGTTTTGTCTAATGAAAAACTGCATCCCTGTGAGTGCACAGATGACTTTTTAGGAGCAGTGGCTGGGCTGGCAGTTGTGGTGGCAGGGTCAGTTCTGCCACCTCTCCATTGTGAGGGTTCTGTCTCTCTCTCCTCTTGGTTCCTTGTGTCCGTCCCAGGCCCTGTGTGCTCCGGGCAGTGCTGGCAGCCCTGTGGGTTGCTGTGCTGCACTCACACTGCTGCTGGAGGGGGGCCCTGGAGGCTGCTGGGCTGCTTTCTCAGCAGCCACAGGCACATCAGCTGTAGATGATCCATCCCTCTGCTCTTGTCCTGGCAGCCTGGGACCTTCCACTTACTCGAGTGTGTCTTGTCCACTGGGGAGGCCGGGGTGTGCACGTGGTAGATGAAAGCCTGAATGTGTCTGATGGGATTGGTCTGTGAGCGCCTGCAGGGGTGGGCTTCAGGTGTGTTGGACAGTGCAATGAGTGACTCTTAAAGAAGCAGAAAGCTTTCACCAGTCTGGGGGTATCTGGCAAGAGATTATGGCACTGCTCAGGCAGTTGTTGCTCTGGTGTTTTCCTTGGGCAAGGTTTAATTTAGCAGAAGAGCTTTCCCTAAGAGAGTGTCCCTGGGCGTGTTTTCTTTCTGGTTTGTAGCTTGAAGCCATTAGTGTTGATTGTATAAAGGGTTTCTTTATGATTGCTGTTGATGTAAAGAGTTTTTAAAATCCTTTCTTATGCTTTGAATATTGTGACTAAATCTAGATATAGCAGCACAGGTGACAACTCTCTGTTGCTTTCTAATCAAGGTGAGAACATTGTGGGTGAAGGCTGTGGATTGAATTCCAGGCTTGAGCATTTATTGTTAAAGACTAATGATTCCCTGTGTTTCCTAGGAGGAGCAGTTGGTGGATTGATTGGATGGATCACTTCTGGACAGTTCAAATCAGTCCCTCAGATTTTAATGGAATTGCCTGCTGCTGAGAAGCAAAAACTCTGTGCTGAAGCCATGGCTGTTGTCAAGAACTTAGACTGGACTGATGCTGCTCAGCTGATTGCTCTTGTAATGTCCAATTCTGCTCTCACAGAGAAGGTATTAGGAGTGCTGACCACTTACCTTACCAATGAGCTAAAAGCACAACTAAAATATGGAGAATAATCCTCTAGGATTATTACAGCAGGATTTTTATGCTGGAATGCAATTTACTCCCAAAGTTGTGAATCTTCAACAAACAAATGCTATTTATCAGTGTTAATTATAAATATATGCTGATCGAGGTAAACTTGGGTTTTTGGTTTCAGTGTTTGGGGTTTTTAAAATTTTTATCATTATTGTTATAATTTTTGTTTTATGCGGCTTTGTAAAGATACTATTGGCGTACTGCATTAACCTGATACTGACTTGCTATGAAATGTTGGATTGCTCTGCATTAGAACTAATTCTAATTGCTGAAGGGAATCATGCTTCTCTTAGGCTAATGCGTGACTTGTGAAAATTTTCAAAGTCTTTTTGTTGTATTTAGGAGACTTGATTTTGTTTGTTCAAGTGCTTTAATTTTTTTCCCTGTGAATGACATGTAAGGTGCCAAAGTAGCAGGCCAATTTGAAGAATTTTACCTGTTGTTTGTTTTAGCCATGCCAAGGAAAGTTTTATAAGGAAGTACATTACTGTGAACTCAAAAGACTCAATCTGTACTTTATCACTTTTTTTTTATAATTCTTGAGTTTTCTATTCATGTAAGAAGTGAAGCAAGTACTTCAACAAGATTTCAAGTAGCAGGAAAACAAACTGAACACTTTCAGTTCAATTTTCACCAGGTTCCTGTGCTGTAGAATGGGAGGGTGTGACATTAAAAAAATGGGGAGCTGAATCTGCCAGTTTTCTATGAGCCCTAGGATTAAGGTTGTCATTTGTGCTTTGATTTCTGGATTGAGTCTGTACAGCAGGTCCTCTGTTTCCATTAAAATGTTGATAAGAAGCCTCACAGTGATCTGTGTGTTGCTTTAAATGGCAGGAACACTTCAGGAACTCGGGCAGGCAGCAGTGGGCAGCAGCAGTGCTGGTGGGTGGGTGATGTGCCTGCTGCATTATTACTGTCAGCACCAAATGCTGTGGTCTCAATGTCCCAGACAGTTGGTCACGTTGGATTTCAGGGCACTCATAAGACAGGTTTGTAGGCAGAAAAATGTTCAGGTGTGCCTTCTTTATGTTATGACGCAAGTGAAGCTGTTCTGCCAAATTCATTTTTGTACCTAAAATTAAGATCTGTCTGTGTGTGTGTGATGGGGTTTTTGTAAGTTAATTTTAAATGGTGTAGCTTTAAACTCTGAAGCTGCTGTTTTATGCATTTGATTAATTTACTTCTGCAGGTAGCATTTGCTTGTGATAAATTCAGTGGATTGCAGGGCAGTTATTGTTCTCAGCATTTGATAACACTTTTTCATTGATGTAAGAAGGAGGTGAAAAAGAACGATAAGTGGGCACTCCTAACTTTGTCAGAGTTTCATTATGCCAAGCCTGAAATCAATGTGGTTTCTTTTTTATTGGCAGATTACACACACTGCTACTTTGAAATGTTTTTACAAGCTATATAAATTTTAAAATACTATTTTTTAGGAATCCAGTTACTTTTGTTTGTAGTTTTCTGGGTATTTCACAAATTAAATTCAATCTTTTGAAAATAACACACTGTTAGCAGTGGCAGATGTTTGAATGATCCAGTGGGATGGAGTTGACATCCTGTGCTCAGCTGTTCAAACCCAGGATGAACAGATCTGACAAGTGATTGTAAAGCAGGCCATAGGAAAAATGGGCATTCTGGTTCATCTGTAGTAGTATTTAGTATTTAAACAGACCTTTACAAGATTCAGTGGTTTCAGACATCAATATCATGACCCCTGTTTTACAGGTATTCATAAATATGAGCCCAAACATAGGTAGTGATTTGATTTTTATCACTTGTATCAGTGTAATAGACATGGATGGAGTTCAGATAATTTTACTCTGGTCCCCTGCTCTCCTGTGAGACTCTAAGAGTATTCTTTGAAATGCTTTTATTATACCCTTAGAAACTGTAAGCCAATTAGAACTACACTCTTAGCCTTTGCTAAGCATCTGTGATGCTGGTTATTAGCCTGGTTTGGTTGTAGATGTGACAGAATCAAGCTAGGTTTTGACTTGCAGATGGTGTATTTTTTAGTTAAAAGGTTTGTTTTTTTTTTTTAGTTTTTTTTTTTTTAAGCTTTCTGATTTCAGAATATAAAGCAACACAAAGTGTTCTGTTAGCAAGAACAGGGAATACGTATGCTTTTTTAAAAGGCAGTCCTGAATTCAGATACGGAGTAGCAAATGAGATGTGCCATCTAGTGGCATTTAGATTAATTCTTAAACTCAGCCTCTCAAGGCTGCCTCAGTATCTGGGTAACACAGTTAGTTAGTTACCTTTTTCTATGAAAAGTAAGGCTGCATCCTTTTTTTGCTCTTACTCTGTCAAATTTCCACCTTTATTGAATTTGTATTAGACTAAAAATATCAGCCCAGCTACAGCCTAGACTAGAATTTTTACACATTCCCTGCAGAAGTTGGCTCTTTGGTGATTATCATATGTGAGCTGTGAAAGCACAAATATTTACTGCAGCTGCATGTCACTTTTAATTATAGTGATAAAATACAGAATCGGGCAGAGGAGGGCAGTTTACTTCTCAATTTCTGAGGGACGAATGGATTTTGTGAGCTGAGCAGCAGCCTGTTTGCAAAGGCAGATTGTCCACAGTGGAACTGGCAAGGCAGTGAGGAGTTTGTTACCTGGAGGGCTGCATTTCTTTGTGCCCCACAAAGGAAGGTGGCTCTTGGCTCGCCCTGTTCACATCGCATTTGTCCCCTCTTGGGCAGTATGAAAGCATCAGGGATCAGCGTTCCGTGGGCAGCTTTTGCAAGGCCAGCCCGTGTCCTTGCAGGGCTGCAGAGGCCTTTGCTGGGCAGCAGGTGCCCGCAGGGCTGTCCCTGTCGGGGACACACGCGCCTGGCCTCGTCCTTCCCTGCAGCGCTGCTCTGGGCCCGAGCACGCTTCTGGAGGGAGGCTGAGCGTCCTCCTGCAGCAATGGAGGCCTCGGGACCCCCACCCCGCTCCCCATCCGCTGCCGTGGCGTGAGGGGCGAGGACAGCAGCCGGCTGGTGACAGAGCTGAGCGACAGGAACAGTGGGGTGTGCTCTGTGTCAGTGTTTGATTGTTTCTCAGCCGCTTCCAGCAGTGTGGGGCTGTGTGCTGTGCCCGCTTACACACTGCTGTGCCCTGGCAGAGCTCGTCCCAGCGGTCACAATTACAGCCCCAGCACGCGGGTCACAGGTGGTGGAATGACTGCATCACCTGCTGCCACCAACAGTCTCCTCTTCAGGGAGGAAACCCTGTGCTTGAGAAGCCTGGGTGGGCCAGAATAGCTGCTCTTTTGAGGCACAGTTCTGTTTAACACACGTGGCATAAAGCTATTGACACCCAGAGTGTGTGTCCACATTTCTTTCACATGACGCCCCTCTGATGATTGCAACCCAGTGGAGATGAGCACGCTTTTTCTCACTTTGGTTGGTTTGTGGGAAATTAGGGCTACAAAACTCACTGAAAGGTTATTGGAAGGGGATTGTAATATTCAAAGTCATTAAGCAATTTGATTTTACACAGCTATATTCTCATGGCATACCTGCTCAGGTGGTGTGGCCAGGTTTGCTTGTGCACATGAGGATGAGTCAAATCCTCACTTCATCTCCTGGTTCTTCTTGATTGTCAACGATTAGCTACCTTTTTGGACAAATCTTTTCTTTCTTTTATATCTTTCATATCCTACTGCTGCTGCCCTCCTGCTAGCCTTCCTGTGAGCCCCTTGGCCTGTTGGGCTGACAGGAGGATGGCATATGTGGTTTGCTGAAACTTCTGTGACTGTCCTGCTGTCAGTGCAGGGTTTTGTTCAGGAGCTGCCTGTGCTGTGTTCTCACCAGTGTGGGGCTGGACAGCAGGAGCGAATCCTCCCCTTGATGGAATGGCATCCCTTGCTATCCAGAGAGGCCTCTCTGTTAATTGTTCTTTCACATACACACATTTCCAATCACTTATTCCAAAATTAATACTCCTGTTCAAAACTGTGCAGATTCATGTGGAGATTAAATGTTCCCATTTTTTTCCTTGCAGAGTGGCAGCAGCTCCAGCAGTGCTCCCAGGGTTTGATCCTGTGTAGCTGCAGTGGCAGGACCTGCTGAGCTCAGTCTTCATCAGCAGTTTGGCAGCACTGGTGCAGCCAGAGGATGTAAAAGCAATCCATTTTTTTCCCCAAGTAAAAGCTCTTACAGAGAAAGCAGTAGCTTAGGCTGTCACTGCTTGATCAGCTGATGTATAACTCCAGACTAATTGAGTAGCAGCCTTTCAGCTGGGTTAGAAAGCTTTTAAAAAACCAAAGCCCTTTGCATTGAAGTGAACTAAAGCTATTAGCCCCTAATTAAAACATGAGGTTTCATCTTTACCTTTCTAGAGATCACAGAAATCTATGTATTTTTCAGGCTGTAAGCCAGAAATCAAACATTCATCATGTAATTGCAGTAAGTGTGGGCTAATACTTCTCATTAAGTGTGATTTATGAATTCCAGAAGAGCCTACAAGGTAAATATATAAAATTATTCTGAAGTCTGCAAAAATGAAGGTATTAATTTCTTTGGATGACTGTTCAGCAGGAAGAATTTAACATGAACATTGCAGCTTTCAACACTCAGTACAGACACTGCATCTGGACACCTGTACCTTTGCAGTTCCCTCTGAGCCACTGCTCATCTTTCACCCCAGCTCAGCCTTCAGCTGTCAGCAGGGAAAGCAGCCTGACTTTGAGGCAAACCCATTCTGCTGGGCCTCAGAGGATCTGTCACCTTCTCTGCTCTTCTGCTCGTTTGCTGGCTGACCTTGAGTAACTTCCCATCTAGATCCTGAATGTGCTTTTTGTTAAGCATTTTGCAATCTATCAGTAGGAAATGATGTGTTACAGAAATGTGATAGCACTGTTCTGTAGCCAATCTCTGATCCTGCAGTCAGGACATGAGCATCAAAGAAGGAATGTAATAAATGTTAGCAGAGGTTCACAGCAATCAGGACAAAGAAGAAACTGCTAAGTTTTGAAATGTAGCTGCTTTCTTTGTGGCAGGGGAGTGAAAGATTTACACTGATGTTTGACCTTAACTAATTAGACCCTGTACAGGAGTGTCTAGCAGGGTGCAAATGTTTTGTGTTCCTTATTCCCTGCTCAGCTTCAGTAGGCAGGAATGAATTAGGGTGAAATTAAATCTGTCCTGTGCTCTGACATGCTGCTTTGGAGTAGAGCACTCAGATTACTTTGTACATGTAATCTGAAGACAGAATGAAGGGTGTGTTATTTCAGTATCAGTGAGTGAGATATGATGCATAATCTTTGTAATTTGGGTTCGTTCAAAAAAGCTTTGAAGCTCTTATTTTTACCTGGCCCTGCTGCAGCTCCCTGAGCAGCTCCTTGTGCTGAGATGTTAAGGCAAAATAATTGGAGATACAGAATCAGCTCCTGAACATTTACAGAGACCTGAATGTTTGCAGTGGGAGAGACCGTGGAGCCAGTGCAGGTGTGTGCTTAGCCTCACCTATACCTCCCCAGGTGCTGGCAGTCCCTCACAGCTGGAGAGACCTGCCTCTCATCATGAATTGGTAAAGCCTGTCCTGGGTGTAGGTAAACTCATTCTTCTGATATTGGTGTAGATTCCTAAAATTTTTTGTTCTCACCCAGCTAACTCTCCATTTCTGTCCTCTCCCTGGCAGACAATTCTGCTTGATACTGATGGAAGTTTCCTCCAAGAAAGGAGCCCAGGGCAGCTCTGAGTTTTGATTGCTATCTCTGGCTCTTCAAATCCTCTTCTTTCTGGGCAAAAATGAGTGGGCCATCTCACTTTTCTACCTTGCTCTTCCAGGTAAATTCTAAGCCCTACAT